GCAGATATACCCATTTAAATCATGAAAGTAGCACTTACTGGTGCTATGAAGTTGGGCAAATTATTTGATTATGCCATAGTTTCTTCATCTGTAAAAAGGGGTTAATAATACCCACCTCCCAAGTTATGCTGGGGTGTTTCCTTTTCCTTTATTAAAGGGGAAGAGAAGGCATGAAAACATTGGCCACCAAAAGGGAGGAGTAGATCACCCTTGTTCTTAGCCAGCAGTTTTCTACCTTTTTCTCCTCTCCAACAAACCCAAGGCGTATGATATACCCCCCATATGACAATTCTGGCTATCAATTTCTTGAATACATTATTTTATTTCTCTATGGTTCCCTTTCCTCATCTGTGAAATGCAGGTCATACCACTGAAGAGTTGCTGTAAGGTTTAGATACAAGAATGCATCTAAAGCACTTATCCCAAAATCAGTACATAGTAACCATTCTATGTTTGTTATTGTTATCATTCCATTAATAAAAGTGACTGGCCTCTGGGGCAAGGAAGTGCAGCTGGTAAAAGCTTCCAAGGGGATCTTGAAAAGCCTGCTTAAGATGGCATGCCCCTATCACCACTCTAGATGTCAGTAAAAATGATGAATAATTAAAGAAGTAACACTACTTAAAGTTCAATTCTTGAGTATTTATTTACTCAACAAATTGATAGAGTATCTTAAAAAAAACAATACTTGTTGCCATCGAGTTGATTCCAACTCATAGCAACCATATAGGACAGAGTAAAACTGCCCCACAGAGTTTCTAAGGCTATAATCTTTACAGAAGCAGACTGCCACATCTTTCCCTCATGGAGTGGTTCAAACCACCAACCTTTTGGTGAGGCAGCCAAGTACTTAACCACTGAGCCACCAACGGTCCTTTTAGAACATACAATTTTCACACAAGCTTCAATGTGAACAAAAGTTCAGTAGGAACAATATACCAATTGCTATGTATACTCTAACTGAAAAAGGAAAAGAAAACATTCTAAAATAGTTAAAAATACACTGTCATCATTATTCAACTATGGAAGAAAAAGAAAACACTCATACTTGCTCAGAGGAATAGGGAGAAAGATTTCCATTGGTGATCCTTTGTAACTTTGTCTTTCTCCAAGAGCATATTTGACTTCTTGTCCGTTGATCACCACTTTTTCTATTGTAAGGTCCTTTGTATCCAAAGTCTACAATTAAATTAATATTTTTAAATGATGAGAAAATAGTTTTACATGCCAGAGAAAATTAATAATAGTTAGCTACAAGCTACAGTAACTACAGAGTAGAACTACTTGCTCATGGAGAGTAAAATACAGTGAGGTTACAGGAACTAAAGGACTCAAAGTTGGTGCCGGTCCATCTCTCAAGGCTCTGAGCTTCCTGAAAATGACTGGATCTGAAGATTTACATGTATACTGTTAGATAATTCTAATACCGTTGTCGTTGTTCCTTGCCATTGAGTTGGTTCCGACTCACGCAGGCCCCATGTGTGCAGAGTTGCACTGCTCCATAGGGTTTTCAAGGCTGTGATCTGTCAGAGGCAGATCACCAGGCCTGTCTTCTGAGGCACTGTTGTTGTTGTTGATATGTGCTGTTGCATCGAACCCGACTCATAGAGACCCCTCCTTGGGTTTCCAAGGCAGTATCACTACGGAAGTAGATTGCCCCATCTTCTTTCCAAGGAGTGGTTGATGGGTTTGAACCGCCAGACTTCCGGTTAGCAGTCATGTGCCTTAGGCACTACGCTACTAGAGCTCCTAGTCACATACATTTTGGGCTTTAAGTAAAAGTCAAATCTAAACTAAAATGGCTTTGCTTCTGTCTCCTAAAACTTAACTTCTCTGCTATTGAAAACCTCACTTATAATTTAAGTTTCCTTCATTCTCCCTAAAATTCTTATTGTCCAACTGCTACCTACTGCTGTATAATCGAAAGTTGAAACAAACCTTGGCACTTTTAGGCAAATGAGCACACTACACATCACTGTTGCGTATTTAGAAAAAGCCGGACCTATTATGGCAACTCTGACCAAATGACCCAATGCAGGATTGAAAACCGTATTTGCCTAGGCCAATTGTTTTTTGCAGGAACAGAGTGACAGCAAGAACATATGAATATTTTCCATCCTCATAATCCTCTATCTAAACCCTAATAACCATATCCTTCCCTTATCTCTCAACTAATCTCTTGTTCTAGATTCTTCAACCATCCTGTGCCATAAGAGTGTTTCCAAACAAACCTGAACAAGCCTGGCATATTATTTTAAAAACTTCACTTGATCTTCCCACCCACTCTGATAATTATTCTATCTTTCTCCTTCCTTTCTTCAGTTCCAAGGACAATCTATGGCTGCTGGTTTCACTCCCTATCACTCCTCCCTTTGCCCTCTTCAATCTAGCCTTGCACTCTTCTGCCACTTAAAGTGCCACTCTCCTGATCAGCAGGTCTTTTCTGTCCATTCACCTTGATCTCTGTTGACTCACAGCCATTGTGATCCACATCACATGTTTAAATCCTTTTCTTGGCTTCTGTAGGTAATTTTATGTGTCAACTTGTCTAGGCCATGGTGTCCAGCTGTTTGGCCAAACACTAGTCTAGGTCCTAGAGTAGTTACATGTGATTAAGTCAGTTGGCCTTAGGTAGAGCAGAGTATTTTCCATAATGTAATGTAATGTAATGACCTTACCTCTAATGCTGGAGTCTAATGTGATATAATTTATCAATCATACCAGTGTAGGGCTGGTCCTAAAGCTAATCACTACTGAGTTATTAAAAGATCGGAACAGACAGAGACAAACACACAAGGGAAGACAAATCACAAGTGAGCATCATCCACAAGCAAAGGAATGTCAAGGAGCACTGGCAGACACCAGAAATGAGGAGTGAGGTCTGCAGAAGACATCCACACAGCTGAGATCTTGATTTGGACTTTCAGCCTCCAAAACTGTAAGAAAAGACATTCTTATTCTCTACAACCACCCACTTGTGGTATTTGTGTTATAGCAGCACCACATGACTAAGGCAGCTTCTTTGACTTTATACCAAAGTAGTTTTCCTAGTTGTTCAATGCCTTTTCCTTTCCCTCCTTCTTTCAAAGTCCTAAATAGGAATAAGCTCCAATGTTGTAGCCTTGGTCCTCTAATTTTCTTACTACATTCCTCACTCCCTAGCTTTCCCTCCCGCCTATATCTTCAGCTAATATCTCAGTGTATATGACCACCAACATATTTCTACAGCTGTATCTCCTCCCCAGGACTTCAGCCTGGTAGCTCTAATTTCCACGGGAAATACCACATCCTATTCAATAACCAAAAGAAAAAAACCAAACTCGCTGCCATCGGATCAATTACGACTCATAGCAACCTCCTTTGGGCTTCTGACGTGGTAAATCTTTATGGAAGTAGATTGCCCAGTCTTCCTTCTGTGGAGTGGCATGTGGGTTTGAACTGCCAACCTTCTGGTTAGCAGTCAAATGCCTTAGGCATAGGCTTCTAAACATTCTAAAAAGGAATTCACCATTATGCCTTTGATTTCATTTAACTGATCCCACCTCCTATCCTAAAAAGCCAAGTAGACTATTTTTCTTTCATGCTAGCTTCATACTTTGGTTTCTTTCCTTCTGTACCACCTTAGATCAGGATCACTATTACAATGTGGACTATCTGTTCTCCTTACCTCTGGCCTGGATGGCATGGGGAATTAGAAGGCCACAAAACAGCTATTTTCCAGTCACCTCTTTTATGATACAGAAGTTAACCTTAGATGATAAGCTCAGAAAATGTCACAAAGGCAATTGCTAATTTTGTTCCCATTGCTCTCCACCTCTCTGGAGCCAACAAGTTTTGGTTGGGAAGAAATTTCCATCCTGGTTTAATTTTCTTTTCTTTCTCTCTCGTGAACTCTAAGAATTGAGAGGAAAAGGAACATAAGATGTCTCCTCACCCAGCATTGGCAGGGGTCTTCTCTATCAATAGTGGTTAGGTAGGCTGCTATCTCACACTAGAAACTGCTAGAAAAGTGTAGACCACATTAAGTTTAGGTACTGTTTTCTAATTGAGTTCATCCACTAATTAACTCATTAAATTTTTGAGTGTCCTCTATATGCCAGGGTCAGTACTAAGAGCTGGAGACAAGAAGAATCCATACTTTCAAGAGTCCATGATCTAGGGAAAAAATAAACAAGCTAATTCCAAATAAATAAAACCAAGTTTTTGATCTTGGGTTATTGTCATAAAATAAGCAAGAGATTATAAACAAATACTGCTTTGTACTAAAATTAACATTTCTTGTATAAAATCTAATATTATAATTCCAGGCTCTAATTTACTAAACAGACATACCAACAAGAAATAATAATTTTTAAAATCTTATTTTTCTCTAGGTTTGGGGAATGTAAAAACGTGTAGGTTTCTAGAGTGAAGGGGACACTGCAGGGACATTCCTTTAAAAAATTAAGCAACCTGGCTGTTGCTTATTCATGGGACAGAGATAAAGCTTTCATTTTCACAAAACAGATGAGAGTGCAAGGTCATATTAAATAGTGATAGGCTATCAAAATTCAATTTCTTTTAATAAAAGGAAAGATTGCATTGGAACAGGACTTGACTTCCACCCTGCCCATGCAAGCAGCCACTGCAATAAAAGTTAGCATGGAACTTCAAGTGGACCAAAGTACAACCCACAGGGAAATACTGACTTCCTTGCTTATAACACTTTTACTTTTTTTTAATAGTACTTTTGTTGACTCCTAGGGGGATCAACTTATTTTTCAAATCAGAATTAGTCTAATAAAATACTAACAGAGAAAGAGTAAGAAAGTTATGTGCTGGAGGTCATATTGAAGAGCTGAAAATACAGACCTCTGGCACAAGAAAACGAGGTATAAAAGCCACCAGTTCTCATCTAAACTTATTATTTTGCCCAATTATTCATCCCCATCACTTCACTCCATTAAGCCTACAACAGACCTGATCTTTCGATTGCTTATTTCTTTGGTTTAGTATATGTCACCATGCTACACTGTGCAAAATAACACATCCTAAATTGATAAGGCCAACTGTGGTTGGTATTTTCATGTGCCCCACTCAATTCTTTACCTCACTTTGTTAGGTGAAAGATACAATCCCAATACTATCAGACAATTTGAATATGAACACTAAAAACAGGTTATGTTGTATAAATAGGACAACAATAATTTCCCATAACTCTAAATAAATTTTCAGTTATTTGAATGGCTGGAGAGCTTGTAAGAAGTAAGTATTTTTCGAAGAAGTACATTGACTACTTGCTTTTTGGCACCACCTACTAACACATCCTATTGAGCTATCCTTACAAAGCTTGGGTGCCTCCAAAACAAAGACCCGTGGCTGTCGAGTGGATCCTGACTCATAGCGACCCTGTAAGGCGCAGCAGAACTGCCTCATAGGGTTTCCAAGGCTGTAATGAGGAAACAAACTGCACATCTTTCTCCCATGGAACAGCTGATGGGCTTGAAACACTGATCTTTAGGTTAGTATACGAGTGCTTTACTACTGCGCCACCAGAGTGCCCCACCGGGCCTTAAATGATAGAGAATAAAGGTGATAAGACTCAAAGGTAGGAAGAATCGTGATCCAGAGAGAAAGAGCTGCAGCCAGAGTTGGAGAAGGCAGAAACTGAAAGTATTAAACCAGGACGTGGGGGAAAGGGTTTGGGGCTGGGAATTCTAAAGGGAGGAGAACGACTGGCAGGGAAGTAAAGAGAATAGGGCGACCTGTCGTTTCCAGCAGACCTACGAGTTGAATTAAAGATGAACAACAGGAGGGAAGAAGAGAGTCAGGGATGAGCAAAATACGGGGTCTGAGACTTGGATGAGATTGCCGACATAGGTAGGTAGGCTGGAGTCAGAGTAGTCTGGGTTTCGGGCTCTGGCCCGAGGAAATGAGGAGGCCACAGGAGGCTAGTGCTGGGATTACAGGAGGAAGAAGGATAGGTGCAAAAAATGAAACCGGAGGGCTAGACGAGGCTTGGATGGAGCACTAAGGTGTGCTCAAGGCCCGGGGAGAGGGTCACAGGGAAGAGGAGCGTTTAAGTAGACGAGGTGGGGTGGGGGAAGGAATGCAAAGACTTAACCGGAGTGGAGAAGTGGGTGCTAAGAGTGGGGTCTGAAGAAGAGGTGCAGAACACGGTCTGGGGGATGCGGAGCTGCACGAGGGATGCGTGGGACTGAGGAGAGGCAGCAGCCGGGTGAGCCAAAAATCCCTGGGTTCGCGGGGGCGAGGGGCTAGAGGCAGACGGCCCCGGAGAAGAGGGAGGGCACCGAGCGCGCTCCACAGTACCAGGCTGCGCAGATTGTCCTCCTGAGACTCGACAGTAAGGGCGACGGTCCCGGTCAGCGTCTGCCGAGTAAAGTCCACGCGGCAGCGCAGGTGCAGGTGCTTGGTCCGGCAGACAGAAGCCGCAGAGGCGAAAGAGCATGTATCCACTACCTCCTGCATGGCTCCAACAGTGCCGCGGCACACCGATCCCCACCGCAGCTCTCCTGCTAGACTGCTCGACTGAGAGCGAGTGGAGGTAAAGAAGAGGCGGAGGGATTCGTGGCGCACCCTGGGAAAGGAAGTTTCCTAAAGTCGGAAGAGAAAGGGAACGGATGGCTAGAACTACTAGTTCCGTGGTGCAGAGCGAAAAGGCATGCGCTTTGCTACCTGGGAGTGAGTGTGTGTAGGATGTGTGTGTCTGTGTGTGTGTGTCTGGTGTGTGTCGGGGGGAGATTGTGTATAAAGGATGTGCTGAGGAAAATGATAAATGGGGCGAGGAGGTCTTACTGAACATTTCAGTCAATTCTAGTGGCACTGCAATGGCTATAAAAAAATATGAAAAATGGAGATAGTGAGGACGAGGGTGGAATGGAAATAGATAAGAGTCTTGTGAGGAGGACTTCACTTGTGCGGTTCCTCGTTAGTATAGTGGTAAGTATCCCCGCCTGTCACGCGGGAGACCGGGGTTCGATTCCCCGACGGGGAGGCACAAGAAACGTTTTTGGTCATTCTTAAATTCTAATACAAATAAGCTCAGGCAAACCCGTATGGAAAAGAATAGTCAACTTCAACTTAGTTCTTAGCTCTAAGATCTGCATTTTAAAGAGCTCTTCTGTGGCTGTCTTGCCACAACAGCAGCTCACTGCAAATGAGTTCAGTTTCATCAGTTCAACAAGTACTTATTTAGCACTTATTTCCAGGCATTTGGCATCTAAAACGAAAGAAAACTACATTCTCATTTTAGTAATTTTGGCCAATTATTTCAATATAGTATAATGAGAAAATTCTCTTACATGAACATGCGCTGGCCACAATGGTATGCAGATCTGGAACTTCTAGCTCAACTCTGGGACCCTTTCCTGAGACGATGAGGGAGGATTGAAAGATGCCTTGCCTTTAGGGCAGAGTTCAGAGTTGTTAACTGGAGATACTGGAAGAGATCAGGTGTTAGAGGAGTTTAAACAGCTGGACATGAGTGAAAGACTCATTGAATTTTAAGCAGGAGAGTGACATGATCAGATTCATATTATAAAGGAGAGCACAATTCAGAGAATGGATATGATCTACCAGAACCTGAGAGTTAGGAAACTATTAAAATAGTTCAGGAGAACATGCCTGGGGCCTGACATAGGTGAGTGGAAGTGCATATAGAGTGGGAGGGATGGATGGAAATAATATTTAGGAGTTAGTGAGATTCACAGAAACTGGTGATTGAGGAGGAGCCTAAGGATTCTCAGGTTTTTGGCTTCAGTGGCTGGGAATCATTAATCAGAGATACAGACTTTAAGAAGAGGACAGATTTAGGTGGGAAGATGCTACGTTCAATTTTGGACATAGGGAATTTGGGAACCGGACAGTCAATGTGGAGATGTTCGTGTAACTCAGTCAGATACTTAAGTTCATTTCTCTGGAGAGGGGTCAGATAAGAGATCCATCACAGATTGTGGTGAGTGAAACCATGACAATGTACTCAACCCAAGAAGAGTGTGTAGAAAGAAGAGCAATGGAAACAAGTTGGAAGCTGGAAAATACCAGAATTTAATAAAAGGCTGGAGAAAGAGGAGCCCGTGAAAAAGCTAACCAGCAATGTCAATTGCATCTGTTGTAGTTAGTTGCCATCAAGTCGATCCCGATTCATGGTGACCCTGTGTCAAAGAGTAGAACTACTCCAGAGAGTTTTCTTGGCTATATTCTCAATAGACTCACCAGGCTTCCCCCTCCCCTATGACACCCCTGGGTGAGTTTGAACCACCACTAAAATAAAGAGTGAAAAGTGTCCTTTGGATTTGGAAATGGGATGCGGAAAGGGAGACGGTGGTTTTGCTGACTTTTATGGTTTGGTTGAAGGTGGAAGCCAGAGAGCAGTGAGCACAATGAATGTCCAGAGAGGGAAGTAGAGCATAAGTTGTTCTCTCAAAACAAGACACTTGACTTAATGTGAAAAGAGGAGATACAAAGTGTAGCTGGAGAGGAATTGTAGCACGGAGGGAATGATTTTTATTTTTTAGGGTTAGAGAAATTTTAACGTGTTTAGAGATACAGGTAAGAGTTTCTAGGGAAGAGGAAGTTGAAGATTTAAGAGATAAGAGGATAACTGAGAGTGCTGGCATTGCTCAATTCTATATCAAGAGTGATCTAACAGTTAAATTTGGCTCTAGCAATAGAAAAAGTTGTTATACATTTGGGTGCATTTGTGTTGACCTCTGCAAGGCAAAGTAAAACAAAAACATCCCAAAGTATAAAAGCCAATACTTAGGTCCTAATTTCATAGGGCCTAAGAATTCATGCCATGATCAATATTCAAAAACATTTTGTGTGTGTGTGTGTTCTGGATGTTACTAAATATATGGTGACAAAAATAATAAAATAGAATTGATTTATTCAAAGAATACACAATCAAATTATCTTACTTACTTATGGAAGAAAGGATTATTTATTTCTTTGACTACAAAGAATGTCACTATCATTATCTTTTATTATTGTTTGCAAGGAACCCATAGGATTTGTGCTACTGTGTTCAAGAAAAAAAATACACACACAAAACAAATGAATTTTTCAAATTGATTAATAGATTAATCAAAAGATATGCAGTAGGAATTCTTTTCTAAGATGCCTCTGACCCCAAATATAATGTATAAAATTAACAATTTTTGTTAATAAATAGAAGTTTATTTATTTCTGATGATGGATGGGGATGGTTTTTAAAATGAGGCTTTCCATTTCTTCTATAACACAAGGATAGTATCAGAGTCTTTCTACCAAAGGAGATATTAGTAAAGATGAAAAAGATAATGTATGTAAGGCTTCATGAAAAATAATTAGTACATAGATTTACACAGTCATGTGAACAGGAAGTATTTCCACCCTGACACTCACCTGGCAAAGTTACTTAATCTCTCTAAGCCTCAGTCCCCTCATGACAGGGGTTGTTGAAGCGATGAGATGAGATAATTTACGTGAAGTCTTTAACCCTATGCTTGGCATAGAGTGAGTATTCATTACATGTTAGCTGATATTATTACTGTTGGCTTTTATTTTGTCTGTTTTAATAATTTCAATTTATTTTATTTTATTAGCCAAAGCTTTTTAGGAAGATGTGAGAAATGGGAAGCAACCAAAATTTGTTCGACAAAGCAGGTTACTCCAAATTAGTCCTCTTGAAAGGGTTTGCAATATTATCAGTGATCCAATATTTTGAAATGAGTTTATATTTAGGAAGTTCAGGAAATTGCAGTTGGTGATTAAAAGGGTACAAAGACTTGCCATTATTTTCCTTCATGTAGACCATTCCTTTCTTTAAACATTCAGTGCAATTTGCAGATATTTATTGGGTGTGCTGTACTACACTGTGCTACCTAGAATAGAGTTAGGGAAGGCTCCATCCCATCTGTTGGAGAATTTACATGTTGGTTGGTACATGGCTGTACCAGTGACCTAAGACAGCACGATGTAAGATCAAAGTCAAGGCCCAAGGAGAACCATAAATGAAGTTCTACAGGGAGAAGTTCTATCCTTTTAAGGAGGGTCAGAATATCTTCATGGATGGGATAGCATTCGAGATAAAACTTAAAAGATGAGCAGAATTTCAATGGGCAAAATGGTAGAGGCTATAGAATTCAGTACAGAGAATTAGGGGTGGGCAGCTTTCCCCATGCTTTCAGCAGGGAGCTAAAAGCAGGAGCATGCTTGGGAAAGAACAATTCTGGGAGTACAAATCCTACAAGTTTACCCAATGCCTCACACACTCCTTAATAATCTGTCTTTCTTCTTCATAATATATGTCTGGTATGGTACAGATTACCAGTTATCCCCTTAATAAAATATCTATTCTTATTTTCACCTTTAGTAGTAAAACCTCAATGCTGTATGGCTGGGTACGTGACCACCCAGAAGAAGGCTACATATCCTGGCATTCTTTGCAGCTATGGCCATGTAACTAAGTTCTGGCCAATGAGATGTTAACTGGAATTGTCAATTAGGATTTCTGGAAAGTGTCCTTAAGAAGGCCTCTTCTGGGGGAAAAAAAAATCACCTTGTCTATTCTGTTTTCTGGAATGTAGACATGATGGTTAGAGCTCTAACTGCCTTTTTGCATCATGAGGTTGTAACTGTGTACTGGGAGTTGGTAGAGCAGCAAGATAGGGGACCCATCTTCTAGGGGTCATGGAGCCCCAATGTGGGCTAGCTACCTCTGGATCCTTTTCCTTGAGAGAGAAAAAAACATATGGTTTGTTGTTGTTAGCTTAGCAGTGATCCCATGTATCAGAGATAGAACTGCTGCATAGGGTTTTCTTGGGTGTTACCTTTATGAAGCAGTTCCCTAGGACTTTGTTTCATGGAGCCACTAGGTGGGTTTGAACTTTTATAAAAAGGTTATAACAGGTGATTGCAAACCACATATACCACCCAGGCTCTTTCTACTTTGCTTAAGACAGTGTTATTTTGGGTTTTCTGTCATCACATGGAACTCAATCAACTGGTCTCAATTGGATGGCCTTGTCAGTTTTGACCCAGGTACTTGCCCAATCTATCAATTGCCATCACTTTATTATGGTCTATTATATAACTTGAGAAATGTTATTTGTCAGAAAGAACTTTCTTCTATCTTTTATTATTTGCTAGAGCATTCTATCTAATTTAATCATCTCACTACCTTACTTAAAATCCTTCAAGGTCTCATCAATATCTCCAGCAGATAATCTGTACCTTTTTTGGTTTGGGGCCCATTTTCAAATACTAGGATATTTGGCATATAGTCAAAAGGATTAAAGTGAATGTGTATGCATTGTGTGTGTGTGTGTGTGTGTGTGTATTTAAAGCAAGTTTTGGCAACTGTGCTAGCTCAGTTTGTGTGTCACCTTGGCTGGGCTGGTGGAGTGGCTGGGCAGCTGGATGTAGTATTCCCCATGATGAGACTAGTAATCAACTCCATGGTGGAATCTACTGTGAGCAGCTGAGTA